AAACATAAAAGCCAGGCAGAAGTAAATTACCTAATTTAGTGAATACATTTGTCTGGTATTTTATCAATGGCAAATTGCTTTTTGCCACTTGGCAAGGAGCCATGATCTTGTGTGGGTCTCTGCCAACAGAGAGGCAACTTACTTAATTCCTTCACTCCCTGCCATTTGGTCTTTTAATTTCAGGCATTGCTTTGAGTATGGGTCCCTAGGAGCCAAAAGCAGTTAATCCCCTTTTCTGTGATTAAAAAAAGAGAGGAAATCAGAAAGGGGATGTGAAAGAAGGTGTTTTATATCGAATTATTATTCTGTCTTGTTCAGCAGAAAATGAATATGACCTGCTGAAAGGATTTTGCAAGCAGTTTCTATAGAGACTAATAATGACCAGACTTACTGATATCTCTAATTGGAAGCCAAATCTTTTATTAATTTTTTTTCTGTCAGTATATTATTATTATAGGACAATTTACTTCAGACATTTTTGTCTTACTTGCCTTTTGCACAGATCTGAGCTAAGGGATTCCAAGGCTTTTTTAAGCCATTGTGTATTTGCTTTTCTCTTTCAGGGAAGAGAGAAGAAACTGTAGATACTCAATTTTATGTTAGCAAACCTAGGTTTTCATTAAACTAATTAGCTAAAAGCTAAAAAGACTTTCTTTGCTACTTAAAGGTTAATAAAGCTACAAAACTCTCAAACATCAAATAAAAATTTTAAAAGATTAACCCCTCATTTAAGGGGTTCATAAAAGTAAATCCTTCATGTTCATTTAATGCTTTCACTCAAGTTACTTTTGTTTTAGTTTTTTTGTTTAGTTTGTCTAATTTAAACATGGTGATTGTTTCCTTTCATGCAGTCGACTCCACTCCAACAACCTCTACTGTGATTGCCACCTGGCCTGGCTGTCTGATTGGCTGCGTCAGCGCCCCCGGGTTGGGCTCTACACTCAGTGCATGGGCCCGTCCCACCTGAGAGGACACAATGTAGCAGAAGTTCAAAAAAGAGAATTTGTCTGCAGTGGTAAGAATTACATATTCTGTTGGTGCTTTGTCTTAATGAACATTTAAAACCATCTTAATGGAGGCTGCTAATGATGTACACTGTAAAATATCTTTCTGAATTTCAGATCTTCTAAGTCCAAATACATTGTTTAAAAATCTGTTCAGTTAATTTGGAAATATTTTTGACTCCAGTATGAGTGTTTGTGATGTTTTGTACTTTGGGAAGTGATATGTATGTAAACTATATGCACGTCCTTCCAAAAATCAAATTATTTGGGATGGAGCTACCTGAAAAATAAAATCTAAACATTCAATCTGAGACACTGAGGCAACTATTTTTATGAAATGACTTTTAACTGGATGAGCTCATTTTTTCCTTTCTTCTGTATTTGCTGTAATTTTCCTTATCTCTGCACTCCCAATATAATTGTAGAATGACTTTTGTCTGCTTTAGCACATCTGGTTGTTTTCTATCCTGAATATTGACATTACTAACAGTTCATTACTAATTACTTCTTTCTCTGTTCAATTTTTCCCTTTCTTCATATCTTCCAGATGAGGAAGAAGGCAAGTTAATGTTTTTTTCTCCTTTTTTATGCTCAGATTGAAATGTATATGTAAACTTTGGCTAATATTTCAGACTTTCCAAAGACATCTAGATACTTGCATATGTCCAGCTTATATTTAGATTGACTGGGAACATCTACACAAGATGCTTAACTGCACAGTAGCGTAGTTTACTGTGAAGTAAGCAAGTATGTCTACATGCGCACATGTTTACTATGCAGTAAACCTCGCTAATCACGAGTAAATTTGCTACCTGCAAATGTAAGTAGCAAATTTACTCGAGATTAGTAACAGTGCGGTAGCGCTCATGTAGATGACTGACCAGGAGGAAATCTACTCCGGGTCACCTGTGCACCAGGTGGTGAGATTACTCCCTGGCACTAGGAACTGCCTGCTGCCGGTGCAGGCTCTGCCACCAGAACT